CTAACTGACAGGAACCCTTCTTAACTGACACCTGTGGGGCTGCCTATTACCTGTCTTGGAAATGTGCCTGTATTATATATGTGATGACCAGGCCATTGGGAATGTGCCAGCAATTGTCTATATTGGAAAAATCCTGATTTGGGAAGCTAACCTGGGCCAGTTATTCTTACAGGTTCAGTATGTGTTTCTAATAATCAAAATTCAAAATATTTGACATTTTACTTAGCTGTAGAATCATAGAAAATGTGTTCTGATAGCTATAGCTATGCCTTAGAGAAGTATAGGTATATTGTTGGAGTAGAAGGAAAACACATTACCCTCACTTTAGATGAACTGATTTACTTTATACTTCACAATGGGCCTTCTGTTGACAGACCCACAAATCTGGAAAGATCATTACGCTTGGTGTGATAACTATAAGCTCCCACAGCTGACTATTTAAAAGCATTTAAAGAGCTGTCTTAAAAAAATAAAAGTGAACAGAGCTTTTAGGAGTATATGTGCTACTTTGCACCAATATGAATTGCTGAACTAAGCAGAAAAGTAATTACTTAATTACCCTCCAAAGTTCAATAGCTCTGTGTTTTGTAGTAAAACTGAATATAAAAAATAAAAGAAAAAAAAACGTAATTCAAAAAAGTTAAAAAAAAAAAAAAACTTTAGAATGGTATCAGTTTTTAAAGGCATTGTGGGAATCTCTTCTTAATGAGGATATTGCAAAGTTTTGCTTAGAAATTAATTCCTTAATTTGATTCAAACTAAGAATGGATTTGCTAGTTGCAAGAAGGTGGATTATGGCTGCAGTTTTCTCTGTGTTGCCACACAGGAGGCTTATATAATGAGGGTGATTTTGAAATATATTTTAGGGGGAACACTGCTGCTGAGCATATTTATGCTGAACATATTTTCCCAGATCAGAAGCATACTAGATCTGACAAAATGCACCACCGTAGAGTGAAGATTGGTGAGGGATTTAAGATTAACCACTTATATTTGAAGATTTACAAGATTAACCACTTGTATTTGAATTACACTCCACTTTTAGATAAAGTTTATGTAAAATTCCTATTCTAGTTCAAATTCAGATCCAGTGCAAGTTTCATCTTCAGAAAAGTCCTTAAGCATAAACTTACCATGAAGCGTAGACTAGAGTTAGTCTAGATGTTAGTTGTTTAGTACTTGAGTTAGTTTAGTTGTTTAGTACTAGACCAATAAATCTATACGTGACAGCAATAGTGCAACAGGTAACCATGGGCATCCAAGAAACTGGTCTGTCTTCAGCAGAGATGTTCATTTCCTTATGGTCTTGACTTACAGACCCTCTCCCATCCTTTGTGTTATGTTCTGTACAGAGATATAAAGCCTGACTTAGCCTGAATAAGTCTCCAGTTACATAGTTTTCCGACTATTTTGTGATGTGACACAGGATTTCTTAAATAACCACGCTGTAGTTGTGAAATTTGCTTCTGAATATGATTTTTTGGCATTGGACATCTATGGTGAGCCTCTCTTAAAGCAAATATCTTTCAGGAAAAATTTGTTTTACTAATGCACTTTTACTAGCCATGAGAAAGCTTCCGAGCAGCTTAGAAAAAGGAAGAGTCCAAGCAGAGTCAGAAAGACTCCCTCCTAAAGCGATTTAGGCACTGGGGTTTTTAAGAGGCACAAGGAGTTACAGATGAATGGTACCTAGGTAAGAGCTGTCATTGAGACAGGCTTTTTCTGAGGAATCTTTTTCTTTCAACAGACAATAATGGAACTTTACTTAGAAATACTTCTGTGTTTGATTTTTGGTTTACCTTGAGGTTTGTACATCAGATTCCTGAGGTAAAGCAGATGTTGTTCATTGTTCCATCCAAAAATCTAACAAGACTTATGCTGACCTTTTCATTTATTTTCCGTGAACACAATAAAAGAAATTCCTGTGCCAACAGGCACAGGCATTCCTATGGCTACAGATTCTTTTGCTGCTGCTGTTAGTTTGATGGTTATTTTAGCTTCCATTTGACATCTGTTGGAACAGTGGCACAAAGTTCAACACAAAGTGAGCTGTTGTTTTAAGGCATTGATTCTATAGTAATAGGCTATTTAAATTTGAATGCTCACCAGGGAACATTGAAATAATGTCATCCCATAGACCTCAGTATAATCTGTTTCAAAGTGACTACCAAGTTAATGGACATTTTGAGAATGTGCAATTTGAAAGACTGGCAAAGATGAGGTTATAACACCTGGTCTTCTGCCGAGGGATGCTTCTGCCATATAGTGCTAGAAATGGACTTAGCAGATCTGAGAGCTGGAAAGAGTTTGAATTTTTGCTCTGATGCACTTGTGTAACATGTTGAGAATATCTACACTGATATTTTTTCTTGAAAGAATGTCTCTGAGTTCTTCTGGGTTTTCTGGGGAACTGCGCTGGAAAGTGTTCTTGTGTTCTAGAGGTGTCTTCCATTGATACATAGAAATACCAAGCAGGCAGGAAAACTCTGATGAAAGATTCATTGGAATCAAGATGCTTTGAACTTTTCTTTGAATTATGACATTGTCAGACAGTTTCAAATTCTATTTCTATTTAAAAAAAAAAAAGGTTGCAAACTTTATTAAGGAAAGTAAAATGTGAGGCTTCTACAGTCATCAGTTTAAATGTCAGATGTGCAATGGATCTTGTCTTTTTATAACCTTTTTCTCAATTTTATTTCTACAGGGTGACAAAGAAGCAGAACTAGGGCTTCCCTTTTCTCCACTGTGTGACCGCAAGTCTACTATGGTTGCTCAGTCTCAAATAGGTATGTCACTTTTGCTAAATTAAAAGGAGCAGGACAACTTACTCCTCTTGTGGGACTAAGATCACAGTGATTTCCCATCATTTACAACTAGGTTATAGAGAGGAAATAAAGTGAAATAGCATTATTTTCTCCATATCAACTCAACTCCAGCTAAGCAGTGCAAAACTTAGGAGCCATTAAATTTATAGTAGTGGTTTCACATGATAAGTAATTTAACTCTAACATGAGTGCAGAGCCAACTGTCATGCACAGTTATGACACTTTGGTTTTCTGAACTGTGATGATGAGGTGCGTATTGCAACATTTTGTAGTATGGTTACCATTGGGAGATATGGAACCCTAATGTCAGTCATTTTGAAAACTTGCAGGAAGCTGTTACAGGTTTTTGTTTGCTTGATTTTTTGTTTGTTTTGTTTTGTTTTCATAAAAATGGAAGAAGCAACAAGCCTAGTGTCTGGGGAGAAAAGAGAGGATAAGTAAGTTACAACTGTTCAGGAATCTGGGAACAAGAAAGCACAACTGAAAAAGTAGATTTGTAGGCGATTTTTTGTAGGAAGCCAGCGAAGCAGAAAGTCAGCAATTATCCTTTAGCCTTGACTACAGAATAGGGTGTCAAATAGAACAACACAAGAAAGAAAACACTGACCCTCAAAATGAGGGACTGAGTCTAGTGTTAAAGAAGCTGTGAGAAAATGTCCTAAATGAAAAAAATAACAAAGAATTGGAAGTATGGAGTTTATCAGCTGCCTTCTGGGCTGTAAAGGGCTACCTAAAGAACAACATGAAGATATCATGGACTTAGGAAAGTTCAGATTCATATCTGTGGCTCAGAGCCATTTCTGTTCAGAATTACTTCATTGTTCTCATCAGGAGGGCCATCATCTGAGGTGGCTCCGTCACGGACTTTCCTGGCCTCGGAAGTTTAGGCAGTTCAGCCAAGAATCTGAACTTGAAAAGCCCTAGGCAGTCTTGGTCTGGTTGCCAAACTCATAGCATTTATTTCTCTGTAACAGTAATGTGGAAAAGGAAGTATGCATGCAGAGGATGTAATTGCTGAGAACATCTGTGCTCTCTCAGCACCTTGGTGGAAGGAAGAAGGAGCAAACTTTTAAGAGCTGCAGCTTCAGCTCAAGCCTGTATTGAGGACTTCTAGGCAAAATACTTGTCCTACTCTGCACGGGGAAAACACAATCTCTTTTCCTGCCTGGTGTGGAAGGAAGGGCATGTAGAGATGTCTTTTTATTTACATTCATTTGAGCTGCTTTCACATATAACCCTCACTCCTTCCAGCAGAGGAGCTGTGCATCCTGCATAGCACCTCTGAGTTCCAGTGTAGGAACTGCCATTCACATATAACCCTCACTCCTTCCAGCGGAGGAGCTGTGCTTCCTGCATAGCACCTCTGAGTTCCAGCGTAGGGTCACAGTGTAGAGAGTGTGTTTGGAAAAAGCAATTTGCCTTGTATTCCTTCTTTTTGTTCCTTTGCTTGGGAAGGTCAGAACAGCCAAGAAGCTTCTGCACTGGTATGTTTTGTCAAGCCACTGCAAAATTAATGACAAATTAAACCATCCCCAGCCCAATTACATGTTATAAAAGAGGCACTCGATCAGTATACAAAGACAGCCTTATTATAAACTACTTGTCATTATATCTAATTTGTGCAGTTTAGTAATCCATTGACATTAATAGGCTACTCTATAAATCTTGCTTTCTGATATTATAAAGTTTTCAAGCTGCTGCACATATTAGCAATGTCTTGCTGTAACACCTGCTTTATTAAATCAAAACCTCTTACATTTTCTGCATATGTACTTTGAGGTAAGGCTCTCAAAAGGACTCTCAAAAAATATTCTGTTCTTATTCATTTATTTATCTGATTAATAGCTTTAAGAAATAGTTTCCTGGAATAGTAATCATCACATTTCTTTGCAGAGGAAAGTACCTCATGAATTCCAAATGGTGCTATTATTTGTAGCAAACACCCATCGGTTTACACAAGTAAAAAGAATCTGTCTCTGAAGTGAAATCAGGTTTTTGGATTTGCCAGGGATGAAGCCTAGAAACCCTGTTCCGGTGTCTCAGCTTGTTTGTAGTCTCTCTCTGGTTTGCTACTGTAAGGTCTGTGCAGATGCAACAAATAGGGCAGACAAGCATTTTTATTGATGAAAGGTTTTCAGAAATGCAGACTGAAAGCCTCACAGTATGGATGTTTTCTATGGAAATGAAGCACTCTAGCAACACAAATTTGCTCAAAAGGAAGACTTTCTCTTCGTGTCACTTCTGTTTGTAAAGGAAATGCTCAGAGTAAGCTCAATCAGACAAGAGTCATGCCTGAAAGGGAGACTTCTAGTCAAAGTGGAGCAGACAAGCAAATTGCAATGAAAACCAGCCAAGATTTCTATTTTCCAGCAAGAGTTTTAAAGGAGTTAAAGTCTCTCTGTCTGTCTCACACTGTGGGAATCTTGCTTGACTGGAGATCACGCTCTGTTGTCATCATCCTGTCTTGCATCTGATAAGTCATTTATTTTTGTTGTTTGGTTGGCAACAAAGAAAATTACATCTGCAGAAAACATCAGATAAAGACTGAGTGAATTATGCTGATTTTTTTATGGTGGACTCTAGGGAAACTGTTTTCTAACCACTGGTCCTCGTGGTGATAGTCTCAGACTGCAGTAAAAATAAACTGTTGTTAGGTGCCTGGAATACCCTATCTCAGAATGCAGTGGTAATTGATAAAATCATGCTGGTCACTGGGGTACTGAAATATTTACTGCACTCATGCTATTGAACAAGACAAAAGGATGATAAACTGACTAGATTTTAAGCAGTATATTATTCAGCTCATTATTTGATTTTTTTTTTAATTGTAAAACTGAATTACAGTATTAAAGTCTTTAGGTAAGAAGAGATTAGTGGATGGTCTTGGGAATATGACGTAAGTCAGATTTATTAATAAGATCCAAGCTTTGTTTCTATTATAACAGGCTGTGTTTCCTAACCTTATTATAATGCCCATTTAAAGGTAACAGAGATGAATAACTTATTCAGAATATTGGAAACAGGGGAAAAATAGTACATGCACTTTCATTCAGCAAGAGAATTATTTCACCATTC